GAAAAATAGATACGTACCATCTTCTCTCAGATAGTCGTTCAAGATTTTAAAGAGTGGAAAACTGTCCCAAGTATCCCGTGGTTGTTCGGCGAGCACTTTGTCCATATCGTCGGCGAACAAAGACCAGAAGATCTCGGCGTGCTCCACCATGAGATCGCTAAACCAGGCGAACGCCTGCGGTACAGTGTAGTAGGAGCGACTCGTGAAAATATTGGACGTCACACATATGTACGTATACGAGAGAGAGTATTATATGAAGGCGATGAAATCGTCATCCCTGAATCGAAGAATCCTCGAGTACGGTAAATACGATCAAGCTAAATCCTCTGTATATATGTATAATCTGATCTTTAGAAAGAATAGATAAAAATAATAAAATTCATAAAATTTAAACCAAAAAATAAAAATATACGCGATACGCGTTAATCATAGCACGCAATACATACAAGAAACGGAAGAATAAAATTTGAAAAATACACACGTTACAAATATTCCGTATCTTTTTAAATCATATCGATCGATTCGATCTAATGGTAGAAATGGTGCGATCGTACGTGATCGTGATTTACCGTTTATTTTCCCTTCTTACTCTTACTAACGTGCAATCTTACTTCTCGAGGATCCAAGAGAAGATGATACTCAGTTGTAGAAACCCAACTAATACCTTCGAATAGTGCTCCCCGTTTTGTTGAAGCAGATCGACGCACATATCGGCAAGGTGTATGAGATCTTCGAGTTTCTTGCTAGGCGGGACGCAAACCTCACCGCTGAAATCGTCCTCGATTTTCGCTTCGGCAGAGAGCTTCGTATAATTGACGAGAGCAGCCTTCTCGAGACAATTCTTGATCAATGTCTTCACTTCTTCTTGAGGCACAGGGCTGACGCCATCCTTCATCATTACTCGTTCCAACAGGGACAGGGTTGCCTTCAACGCGCCATCCGGCCGACCGAAAGGGAAACTGTATCTGTGTTTCACGAGATTGATTAACGGTTAACAACGAAACGGAACGAATCGTTGTTGAATGTTATGACATAAACGACGAAACGTTCGTCGTTTATACCTGAAATTGGTAATTTGTTCTTCGAGAATTTGTCTGAGTCTCTCTTTGATGTCTTGAAACTTTTCCTTCTCCTCGTGAGTAATGGAACCGACTCGATCCGTGCGATTCCCGTAAACGTGAGTGGCGCAAAAGGCGAAACTGAAGTGAATCAGGGTCGGATCGATCATTAAACCGCGGTCGATTCTATCGAGTAAGTCGTTCAAGTAGCACAAGTGTCGAAAGCATCCTCGAACTCCGTATCTGTGAAACGAAACGAAATGGAACGATACTTGTTTCTTTTTCACGTATGTGGAAAAAATATTGTTGGATATTTTGCCGCGTTTTACCTCGCGCAATACTCGTCCAGAACGAATACTTGGCCAGGCGAAAACCAACCGAGGGAACAGTAGGGATCGTTCAATCGATAATCCAGAACCAAATTTTGCAAAAATTTGAAGAGAATGTGATGATCGAACTTGCAAGGATCCGCGCTAATGTAATCCTCCATTCCATGCTTTTTCGCTCGATCGGCATCTCCCTGTATCTTGCTGATGGTGGAATTTTTGTCCGCCACGGATACCGGCGGAGTCGGTTTGTGGGATTGGCCGGTCGCTCTGTACATAACCATTACCCAAGTTTGACACTCGTTCTCGTCATCCGCGGCAAATACTATGTTGTCCCCTTCGCGGACAGCGTTGAAATAAAATCTGTAAAGAAAAGTTACGATCGATCGCAATTACAATTGGAATATGTTAAATAATTCGATCGATCGAATTCGATGATAAAGTCGTCCACGCATACGTATAACAGAATGATGGTTATACCTTCCGTCATCTAAATCCATACCGACCATTAGATTGGCCGAAAGAGGTTCGATATAATCGACCGTGTAACCGTCGAGTTGCATCATCTCGGATGGCTCGCTCCTTCTCTCTTTGTACGAGCACATCGCGAACGTGTATTGGGATACTTGAACCAACACGTGGTATCGTTTCTTCCACTTTTTCCACACGGATTTGCCCATCGCGTAAAGGTAGCCGCAATGTTTCATGTTGAACGGTTTGTCCATACGGCAGCCAACTTTGATGAGAAGTTCCTGGTCGGGGCAATTTTTCGGGACGGACATTCGATACCATTCCGGATGTTTACAGGAGAACGGTGTAGGTCGTAGATTCACCTTGCCCAATTCTTTGTCCTCGAGCGCGAGCATCGCCGAATTCTCGGTGTACAGTCGAACCTTGACCAACGGTAGAGGTTGCATGGTGGTGAAATCGCCTTGAGTGTCCCACCTGTAAATCGACGCGGCGAAAGAGAGAAAAAGAAAGACAGAGAGAGAGAGAGAGAGTGTGTGTGTGTGTGAGGAGAGGGGGAAGGAGGGGAAGAAAAGAACGAAACGAGGGAAACGAGTGGCGATGGATGAAGAAAGAAGACGAAAAGACGAAAAGAGGAGAAGAGTTGTCTCGAGTTTCCGCTCGGTGATCGAGTATTATTTTCGATTCGGTTGCTTTTCGAGGATGTACGTGGGGTGTACGTTCGTGTACTACTCACATAGGTTTCGAGGCTTCGGCGTGATCGGTTTGCAGCTTTTTACCACGATCGACTTCCATCGTGCAATACACGATCTTGTTGGGTGGTAAACTCTTCAAGCCCCTGACCTCTACAACCACTACAGCCAATTGAAAGGTGAGGCCTACGTCCATTTTGGTTAGCTGCGGTTCCGAGTCGGCGGAGTCGCTCTCCAATTTAACGAGGGAACCCTGACCGCGGCAGCGGGAGCGCTCACGTCGGTGATTGCAGCGCTTCAGCTTCTGCAGCCCGTATTTGCTGTCTGTCGAACCTTTCGAGACTGGCAACGACTCTAAATTAGCCATCAACAGGTTGATAGACGACTTTAGTTCCTCGATGTAGAGCGACTCCATTTCTTTTAAGAGAAACTTGGGCATAAGCTTGCGATTCTATACAAGGGAAAATATATGTATATATATACGTACGTGACGTGCGTTTGAAGTTGAAAGAGATGGAAAAAGAGTAGAAGGGAGGGGTGGAAGGGAAGGGAAGAACTCGAGCTACCTTTTCCATTTCGTTGACCCTCTGGAGGCGACCATCCAGCTCCCTCCTGATGGCGGCAGCCTGTTCGTCGGCTGAATCCAACAGGAGGGCGTTGAACAGAAGCTGATGTTCGAACTTCTTGATCCCAAGAATTTGCTGGAACATGTCGTACAGCTGCTCCTTCGGAAGAATCATCTCCGAGATCAAAGACTGTTGTTGCATCCTGGAGGGCCTCTTGGTCTCCTCGTCCCCCGTACCTTTCATGATACAATCGAATTTGGCCAACCAGGACGTAAGTACAGTCTCTTTGCTCAATCCATCGATTTCCGGGAAGCGTAGAACACGAATCTTTATGTTCTCCTTGAACACCTCGCGGAAGTCGAGTTGCGAGCAAGCACCGCTTTGAACCATTTGCATCACGCGGTCCGACGTTAGAAACACATCGTAGTAATTCTGTATGGCGTTTCGAAACGCTTCATCCGCCATTATTTGCGTTTCTCCCTTTAGGAAACTCTGTAAATTATATTGAAATTTAATTAATCTCTCTCTCTCTCTCTCTCTCTCTCTCTACATATATATATTCTCTATCTTTAAGAATCAATTTATCGTTATTCTATCGGCCACCTGAAAGGTGAATTCATAGACGATGAATTCGCGCGTAAAATACGGTATACGGCTTCTTCCATCGCTTACGTTACATCTTATCCAAAAGGTTTCTTTCGTGCGATCTTTCTTTATTTTTTTCTCTTTTTTGATACTTCTATCATTTATATATAGATATTTATATACATACCATATTGAAATCGCGATCGTAAGAGGATCATATATAATTAAATAAAAAAAGTAATTGCGATAAGAAATAAGGAAAGAAGAGAGGAAAGAAGAGAGGAAGGAAGGAAGGAAGGAAGGAAGGATTACCTGAAAACGAGAACATATCGTTTCGAGTTGTTGCTTGGTCACTTTTAGCGGACGTTTCGTCATATCCAATGGTTGTTTGGCGTTAAACGGATATGCAATGCATCTCGATACGAACACATACAGCTGTATCCTGGTCTTTCTCTCCTCTTCTTCTCGCTCCTGTTTGTCCTGTGTGAAAAACGTACGAAAATGTAAGAGAGAGAAAAGAAAGAAAGAGAATAATAAAATAAAAAAAAAATAATATATATATATATATATATATATATAACCTGAAGATCGGTTCGGTTTTCTCGCTGGCGACAGAGGGCGAGGGGCTGGTAGGTCTCTGAGCGTAACTAGCCGCATCCTGGGCAGCAGACATCGACGGCGATAACGAGTTTCTCGCCGCGGAGAGAGAGGAAGATGCGTCGGCATCTTGGCCGGCGCCCCCGCCAGCTCGAGGTGTCCCGACCGGTCCGTGGATCGAGCCTCCTGGAGAGGCTAACGAGCTCACGCTACCCGAGACGGGACCGCTCGCGGTGGCGAGGCTCCCTCCGGGTCCAATCTGTCGCCGGGATCCGTACGAGCTACCGCTCCCTGCGCGAGCTCCACCGCTGCCTCCGCCACTACCGCCACCGACACTTCCGACGTGTTGAGAACTCTGGTCCTCCTCGCTTTCCGACTCCGACGAGCTCGGATCGATCATTCTGCTCCCTCAGGATATATACTTTTCGATATTTCCTTTTCCGATCAGTTATCAATCCCTTCTTCTTCCCCGTCCGTCACACCTACGATCAATTTCTTTTCATCTTGGAATATTCATATATATATGTATATATATATATACACACACACACACACAAGCACACACGCGCATACACACACACATATACGCGCATGTTTTTGCGTGTACCGATGCACGCTAGCAATTAAGATAATTAAAAAATATTAGGAAGGGAGAGAGGAGATAAGAAAGTTGAAACGCAAACGAATATCGATTGCCACCATTCGTTCGTTCGTCTCCGTCCAGTTCCATTTTCTTTGTTGCTCTATCTATCGCGTCACTCTAGTACTTCCTTGTTCGATCTGAAGGATTGACTTGCGCGAGGATCGAGTCACGCGAGATGCACGCGAAACGAAACGCGGCGGTGGTCGATTCGAATTGGCGATCGTTGGCGAGCGCGACAAATGTTGCGAGACGAAATGAGATGTCGAGAAACCTAGCCTGGAGCCTAGTCGCGTGCTCGCTACGGGTATATCACATGTACATCAACTTCAACTAGTTATATACACGTATTTAGCACAGATATGCAAATATCTGCAACTTAGATAACGCTTGTAACGCGTGTCAGAGTACCAGTTTATATTCGAGTTCGCCGACTTTAACGATCGTGGCACGGTCACGCTTTATACGCTTCGTATTTCACGCGCGTTTTCGCCTTTGTTTTCCTTCCTTCTCAACGTCCCGTATTGGCCCACATTTCCGCGCATTTCCCATTCTATAAATAACACGTACACGTGGTTCCTCCTTGATACGTTTCGTATCGATTCTTCTTATTCTTGGTGCGTCCAATGTTTATACACACACCCTCTCCTCTCGTCGATTTAACTCGTTAATATTTTCCACGAGTACGTGCGTTTAAATATACAAATGTTCCAATTAAATTGCATATAGTATAATGTATATCTATTCGTGATCGAGGATCGCGTGTTTCTATTCCTTTCATTGTCGCATTCATTGTTTTCATGACGAAGAGAGCGATAACGAATACAACGTTAACGAAAAATTCGACCGGCCGATCAAGGATCGCTGTCAACGAGACGCATTATACACGCAGTTTATATCGACACTTCCGCATCGATATCAACGGGTAGAAACGCGCGCAACTACCGGCACCGGTACAGCTCATTATCGTAGATATTCTTTTCACTCGTAGATATCCCTTTTTCCAATTCTCGATATGCTAATCGTTTTTATCGTTTTTAATCCTTAATCGTTTTCGTCACATTCGATTCCCAATAAAACTTGCGTAAAAATCAAAGCTCTTTTTGCTACGAAATTTTATCGTATCAAACGAAATCGAATTTATGTTTGAACGCGGAACGTAACGTCGTCGATTCGATGCTAAACGAGAAAACGAAAGATCGTATCCAGTGTTGAAGGGTGTGTCGCGACACGCAGGAATACCGAAACGAATCTACTTGTTGGAGCGAATCTCTCGCTCTATCTCTTTCCCTCTTTTGCTTATTGCCATACAGTCGCTCGTGTCCTATCGTATTCCCATTTCCTCTTTTGCACTCTCGTTCTCTTTCGTGCATGCGCACGTGTCACAACTTTTGCGATCGTTATTACAAGCCCACTGAACCAACCTTTTCTTCAAGCAATACGCGGCCACAGTGTCCCCGAATATCGACAGATCATCCTGTGTTCATGTTATCGCGCTCGAATGCACTCAGAAATCTTGTTTTGCGTTACAAATGTCAAATTATTCGTTATTTTTCTAAACGCGTCGTTATACGACAATGCGATCTATGGAAAAGAAAAAAAGAAAGGGACAGTTCAGGGTTTTCTCTGGTATATACGATTTACAAACTTGCCACCGTTATTAACAAGTGTGAACGAAGGTTAAAGAGAGTGGACGGATTGAACTCTCAATGATCACGACGTGTCCCAACGTACTCGACCGCCTTCGTTCGTCTACTAACCAACCACCGATATGATAGCGCCGACGCCGATAGTGACACCGACACTGATGTCCCGACGCCGACGCCGACGCCGACGCGGCCACTGACGTTGCACATCACTGGGGAAACACTCGCGAGGATAGAGATAAACTGTCAGCAACAAGGAGAAATAGATGGAAGAAAAAAAAGATAAGTGAATATATATTCCGAAACACCGCAATGTGAAATGTGTAGCAATCAAGGAGTAACGAAATAACGATGGAAAATGTCAGATCGTTCTGTGAAAAATATGATTATACGCTTACCTCGATGAATGGTCGGAAAAGAAGAGAAAATATTCCTTGTAAAAATAATCGCCTGTACTTTGGAAATCTAACTTGAAGTGGGAAGAGAGTAAAAATGGAAGAAAAAATAGTCCTCGATTAAAATAATTATATAAAATAGGAGCGAAAACGTGAAAAGGGAGCATAAAGTAAATCGAGTTGGAGAGTGGAGGAACAAATAGAGAATGGGGTGTGTCAAAGAAGGGGATTAAAAAGAGAGGTAGAGAGAAAGTAAGAAAGACGGGTTGTAGGCAGAAGCAAAGTGGCAGTGGGCCATCGATTGGTTGCGCGCGATTGTCAATGTTGGCGGTCATTCGACGTTACTGCCATCGTGTCGCAGCGCGCCGTCTTCTCTCTATATCGATGTAATATATGTATCTATCTATATATTTTCTTAAATAGTTTATTGTTTCCTTCTCTCTCTCTCCCCCTCTCTCTCTCTCTTCTCTCTCTCTCTCTCT